ATGCAGTTAATTACAGCGTTGTGTGTCACACATGCAATATTGCTATTAGTGGACTTTTATTATAGAGTTTAGTATTGTAATATTTTCACTTCTATTTCTTGTAAAAAGATTATGTATCCGTTTCATAAATATATAGAATATCAGCACTATCTTTGCCGGCCCTGGTACCCTTTTGTTAATGGGTAGGCTGTCTCATGTTTATTCTTGGGATTTGGATATTACAATTTTCCTGCAGACTCTGAGCGTACTCTTCAGTTTTCGGCTGTAGGCCTATGCACAAGCTAATTGTTTAGAAGAATCGAACGCAAAAAGGCGATTGTGTTCGTTAAGGCTGTACTAATTAATGTAACCGAGCTGAGTGGGGGTTGAACAATGGATCAGAACGGGTGCATGTTTATTCAGCCTGACCTCTCCAGTTGCTACGTCACAAAAATGATGTACTGTACTAAATTGGCCGAACTTACCCTAACCGAGGACCTACGAATAGAAAACGTAACGGCACGTCAATTTTGCGAGCCGCCATGAATTATAGTACACCATAATTTGACGAAGGGGATATTTGACGGCACTATACGAGGTACTATGCGAGAGGGAAGGTTCTGCGAGGCAAGGAACACACTCTTACGTACACTGGCGAACACACCCATGTGAACGATAAAGTTTAGACAATTGGGGGGGGGGGGGGCAGCAAGTCCATGCAGTTAACTTAAAATTTGATAGATGTACCCAGGTGAAGGTTGATACCCACAGTACAGATAGGTAAATGTATACACCGTCACCTCTTATCCCCCCCTCCCCCCACCACCACCACCTTCCGTTGTTTGCCCATTCCGGATGCGTGATAAGCTAAGACCGGGGGGGGGGGGAGGTGTTGGAGGCCCGGGGGGGAGGGGATGAGAGATTAACGACGCAGCTTGCCTACCGCCTCCCTCTGCCACTATCGTGGTGCCCCTTCTGTAGTCATTAGTACAGCTACAGGACCACTTTACATGCAACGACATGCCACTAACTGGCTCCCAGAACTGAAGGACAAGAGCTACGAGGAACTAAATATGCAAAAACTAGAACATAGAAGAAAAAGAGGCGATATGATCACTACGTTCAAAATAGTAACAGGAATCGATAAAATTGATAGGGAAGAATTCCTGAGACCCGGAACTTCAAGAACAAGAGGTCATAGATTTAAACTAACGAAACAAAGCTGCCGGAGAAACATACGAAAATATACTTTTGTAAATAGTGGTAAACGGTCGGAACAAGTTAGGTGAGAAGGTGGTGGAGGCCAAAACCGTCAGTAATTTCAAAACGTTATATGACAAAGAGTGCTGGGAAGACGGGACACCACGAGCGTAGCTCTCATCCTGTAACTACACTTAGGATTGGTTGTTAGGAGGATGGCGGGGGTGGATGTGGAAAATGATTTTACTGGACATGGGAAGCGGGGCCGTTTGAGAGGTCTTTTATGGTGAAAGATGTAAGGGGGGGGGGGGGGGTGCCATGGGTGCGGAAGAGGTGTTTGTATGGCTCGTGGCCAAAATATATAATATGGGAAGATGTGTATGGTATTATATAATATTAGAGTTACTCTCCTAAGTTTCCTTCCAGGCTCGATTACTCCTGAAACCCCGCCAGTCCAACTCTCAGTTGTAATGACTTTCAATCATCCTTGCCATGTCTCCTTTGGAAACTGTTGTGGGCCTAATCAATTCCATAACCTAAACCTACTACCGTTACGCTGAAATAAAACTGTCTAAAATCCATTTGACTGCGTCTTGGATTCCCATGTTGTATTGCACTGAACATGTCTGCTTTATCCAATGGTTTGTTCAATTAAGATGTTAATAATAATAATAATAAGTCGCGCGCACGCGTTTCCATACGGCTTGTTTTCTAATTATAAAAACAGTGTGTGAGAGTGAGAGACCTCGACTGTGTGTGTGTCAGAGGGAGAGAGATAGACCGTGAATCTGTGTAAGAGTGCGCAAGTGTGAGAGAGCAAGAGTGCGAGTGTGTGTGTGTGTACTCACCTATATGTACTCACCTATATGTGCTTGCAGGACCGAGCATTGACTCTTGGATCCCGCCTTTCTAGCTATCGGTTGTTTACAGCAATGACTCCTGTCCCATTTCCCTATCATACCTAGTTTTAAAAGTATGAATAGTATTTGCTTCCACAACCTGTTCCCCAAGTGCATTCCATTTTTCTACTACTCTCACGCTAAAAGAAAACTTCCTAACATCTCTGTAACTCATCTGAGTTTCCAGTTTCCACCCATGTCCCCTCGTTCTGTTATTATTACGTGTGAACATTTCATCTATTTCCACTTTGTCAATTCCCCTGAGTATTTTATATGTCCCTATCATATCTCCTCTCTCCTTTCTTTTCTCTTTTTTTTCTCTGTGTGTGTGTGAGAGAGAGCGCGCGCGCGCATATGAGTGCGAGAAAAAGATCGCGCGAGTGTGTGAGAGAGAAAGAGAGAGCACGCGAGTGTGAGAGAAAGAGCGCACGAGTGTGAGAGAAACACTCGTGCTCTCTCTCTCTCTCTCACACTCGCGTGCTCTCTCTCTGAGAGAGCACGCAAGTGTGAGAGAGAGAGAGAGAGAGAGCACGCGAGTGTGAGAGAGCATGTGTGAGATAGGTCACTCTCACACGTGTGAGAGAGAGAGAGACGGTGATAGAGAGAGCGCGAGCGGGCAGTGCTTAGGAGTCGTAGTCCTAATGGCCCGGGTTCGATTCCCGACAGAAAAAAATGGGCAGAGATTCTTTTAAACTGATGCCCCCTGTTCACCAAGTAGTAAATAGGTACCTGGGAGTTAGACAGCTGCTACGGGCTGCTTCCTGGGGATGTGTGTGTGTGTGTGTTAGAGAGAAATATATGTAGTAGACATTAGAGGGAAAAATAAATTGGTTTGAAAGGTGAGGTCTAAGATCGAATAGCTGGATTCTGCAGATACAAATAGTAAAAATACACGCCTGTGGGCACGTACGTGTATATGTATGCATATTTATTATTATTATTATTATTATTATATATATATAATGTCTCACTATCTCTAATATATATATATATTAGTCTTATGTACGATGTGACTTGTATCACTTTGAACTACTAATGGACTAGCTTTATTTCTTTAGGCAGAAAGTCGAGTGCCATTTTCCAGACCTTGCCTCACATTTGTAGTTGGTGTACGTGCTAAGCAACAGGTGGTGTGGCCTTAGTCCTTCTCTTTGTTGTTTCAGAGTCTTCTCCCTGTCAATTTGTATTACACCGTGTATTCTTTGTGTAGTTGTGTTGTTTATTTAATCTGCTTCTTGGCTTGGCCACCTGGCGGCGTCATCTGCCGTTGAGTAACCGTTAACGCCTACCTGTTGCCTCATGTGCCAGCGGTGTTGGTGTGTTTGGGTAGCTCTTAATCCTATGTATTTGTTCAGGTGTCTCTTGTCTAGCGTACCTTGCTGCTTCTCCCAGGATCGCCGCCATGCTGCTCCCTTTACTCTCTGGCTCGCATTTAAACCTCTGTGCGCAAGGCCTTGTTGTTTCCCTTCTCGAAAAGGTGTGTGTGATGCGGTCATACCGCCTCGAGTGTTCTCTGCGAAACTGTGAGAGGTGTGCTATTTTTCTAACCAGAATCGTGCATGTAAAAATTATCATTTTGAAAGTATGCCATTGGAAGGTAGATTTGTTATGGTGATATGTTATAGCATTCCTTAACCTGATCGGTGAGTTAATTTTTGAGGGATTAAAGGTTGGCGGTGGGCAGCCTGACCCACCGCGAGCCGATTAGTGGCCCAGGTAGGCCCGAGCAGAGGTGGTGGAGTGGTCTTAGCATGTGGAGCTCCGGCGGTGAGTGACGTCATAATACATTATCATCCCTTATTATGTTCTTGTTTCGTAATCGTCCTCTGCGACCATGTTTGGGTAATAATTGCACGGGGATGATTGTTTAGTGGTTATGAGGTACAGTAGTTAAACCCCAGCCAAGGACAAGCCTTTATTGCGGATTTCTATGAAGACGTCCGCAATTAAAGCGTCGTCTGTGATATAAATTGTCCTTGACGAATGATTTAACAAGGAATGCCGGACCAACCGGGTTGTAGTAGATATGTGGGTCAAGCAACAGCCTGTTGGTCCAAGTTATCACAAGTGAAGCCTGGCTGGGCTTTGGGGAGCACAACCTCAGAACCCATTCAAGGTATACACCAGGTATACTTTTTGGCAACTTTTGTACTTTTGTCCAATTTTGAGGCAGGTGATACATTCGTGTGAACATGGATCTGTATAAACAAAATTGTAACTGCGTATTTGTCTGGCAGTTGAGAGGCGAGACCAAAGAGCCTGAGCTCAACCCCCGAAAGCACAACTAGGTGACCACCGTCCTTTGTGGCTTTATGCAGCGTTATAATAATAATAATTTTATAAAAAAACAATATAGAGAAAAAACGGGGTAGAATGTTTAAATTGTTATATAAAATACATATTCAATAAAGGCACTCGTACGCAAAGCGATACCTTTATCTGTAACCTCTCATGCCTCTTAATAGTTCTCTACCTCCCTCACGCGAGGAATGTCACAACCATTGTAGTAAATATAGAGTGTAAGGGGGAGGGTTGGGGGTGGTGGCGGTGTCTTAATGGGAAACTGTGGACCTGTAGCAGTGCCTTGTGCAGGACGAGGAGCGGTGGTGTGGCGGGGAGTGTGTGTGTGGAGGGGGAGGGGGAGGGGGGGGGGGGGGGGGGCGTCACAACGTCACGATAACAAGGAGGGCGGCAGAGCGCGCCTTCCGGTGCCCTCTGTCGCCCTCCCTCACCACCGACACGTCCATTGTCACCACCTGGGAGAGAGTAGTAGTGAACTCTGGTGCAAGTGGGCACGGCCCTGTCTTCCACGCCACACAAATCTTGTTAAACGCCCTTGATATAACATTGATTTAGTTTTATCAATGTTTGATGCTAGTCACTCGAGCGTATTTTGTCCGTTGGGTTATTAGACCAAGGGGGGGGGGGCACACCAGGTAAAGCTAATAGTTCCATACAGAGGAGTCATACATAGGTGTGTATTCCCACAATACAACAGGTATTTTCTTTTTGAATCGTGACACCGAGGCTCTGGAACAAGGTATGTGGTTTACCAAAAGAGTTCCCTTCCGAGTCTTGGCAGGAATCTGTAACACTGTAGTAGGTCCTCTTTTCCCCTCCCCCTCCCCTCGTATATACTGGTTACGTGTTTCCCTGAAAGTGTTAGCTCCACCACCTTCAGATACACTACTGTATATATAGGTATCGTTTAGTGTAGATGCGCAAAACTCGTTTTTTCTGGGACAGAAAGCTCGTGTATATACTTTAGCCTTGTATCGAGGTCCCCTCAAGGTCAAACTACCGACCCTCCTACGGGATAAAACCCCACAACAGATGCCTATGCTGTTATAGATTCAGCTACTCAGACAAGTTCCAAGTAGCACGGGCTATGGTGAGCCCGTAACTTACCTGGCACAGGAGTGGTGCTGTGTCTCTGTGTGTGTCCTTGTATATAGGTACTCTCGGGTACCTATATACTGTTAGATGAACAGTGCCATTAGGTGAAAGGAAATGTGCCCAACCATTTCTGTCTCGTCCAGGGATAGAACCTGGGATCCTAAATTGTGAGTAGAGAACAAAGCCACTGTACTACCAAGACCTTAAAAATGTGTAGCCCCAGACCTGTTTACCATCCCTCCAAGGCTGCAGGCAGACCTCATCTGGATGCTTATGGCTCACTTCTGCACATCTGGGGTTCCCTTTGTGCTGGACATTCTTAATGACATCACTGCTTCAAAGATTGCTTGGAATCTCTTTCCTCTCACAATAGATGAGACTATAGTGTTCGTTTTGGTTTGTCAATGTGTTGCAGCAGAGACACCTGTGTTTGGGGAAGATGGTGGTGGTAAATTATATACAAGTGATGAGCAACATCAATACTAAGGGCCGTTTGGTTGAGGTGCATCCTAAAAAATGAATTAGAACAGCTAATCAGCAATCTCCAACATGAGGGGCTTGCACACCAAGGTGATGATCTTTATTTTTTTCATGAAGCTGCCACTTTTATTGTTGAGACTATTCTCGACTATGGAGCTATCCAAATGAGTCTTCGTTATTGTTCGAGGAAGTTGGTGGGTGATAAGTCTGCAAGAGTACTTCGCTGGCTGGCTCCTTCAATGACTTAGGAGACTATTGGGATTCAGGAACCCTAAGTGCTCTGATAGTATCTGTCCCACAAATTCGCAAGTATAAGAATGCAGGCAATGCTGTCTGCATTGTTTAGTGGATACCTGTACCACCGAGTCTTACATGAAAGCGTTGCTTGGTTCATTGCCAGTTTTCCATGGAAAGAATTAACACGCGTGGATAAATTTGGGCTATCGAAATGTTGCACACCTTGGGAAAACTTGGGAAAGCAAGTCTGGTCCTGGCCAAGCACTTTGCAAATAGGAACGACTAATCGTGGGCATCAGAAACGCCTTTCTTTCATCCACTAGGTCGTTTTAAGTTCTAGAGGCTTACAAAATTGACATTCGAATCTAAGGGTGCCCCTATGAACACCGTCGATGGGGGTGATCACTGAAGCTCATGGACAAACTGATCTTACTCCACCTATGATTGATTTGTGTCACCTTTGATTCCCTGTCCCCTGGTGAGGCACTCTTTGTTATTTGTAGGCACTTACGTCAAAGCTTTTGTTTACTTTTTGTCGTGTCCGGAAACAAAGCCCGTGAGAACATTTACCAAGCACGGATATGATGCATGGGGTTCACACTAGTGACCCGTCCTCTTGGTGGGACACTACCCACCCTCACGTTGGGGTCACTAATCCTCGTGCTCTGGTTAGAAAGGTTTCCACCTGCCTTACACCTGTACCATAATCCAATCGCCTTTCAATATCACTCTTGAGCCTAGTCTATCTCCTTCTCCATTGCCCTCCCCTTCCTCTCTCTCCTACTTCTCCAAACTTACCCCCCCCCTCCCCCATAGCCAACAATCGGAAAATTGAGCTGGGAAGATTTGATGGGGCACGTGCTGATCTGAAACAGATAACCCGAGAACTGGTTAGTGTGAGGCGGGACGGTGCTCATGATAGAGCGACTGTGTCGAGAGAGAGTAAGCTTGCAGGCACTTGGGTAGCCTACTGAGAACTTGACCGCATGCCTTCTTCGGGCGGGAGGAAGTACGTCACAGTTACAAGCACTCGTTCCATTTACATGGTAATTATTGAAAGCTCAAGATGTACAAATGAACTAAAACCATCTGTAGTTCTTAACGGTTAAGCTGACACAGATGCCATAAGTCTATTTAAATATATGATCAGTTCGTAAAGGAGAGAGAAAAGGTGGTTTGATGTTTTGCTTCTGGTAGAGGAGGCAAGTTTTTTTTTCAACCTCCTATTCCTCCCCCCTCCACACACACACAATCCTTTAGTAAAGCTTTCGCCACTGCTTCACGAGAGACTAACAAGAAAGGTTAGAGACTCGTGGTATAGGGGTGCTGTCATTGGTTGCATAAATCATAAATTTCAAAGGAAGCAGAGTCGGTATAAATGGAGTCAAAGTCAGAGTTGGACACTGTTATAAGTGGTGTACCTGCAGGGCTCTGTTTTGCTACCTTTGTTATTTACATATAAACGATTTAGATATAATATTGAACAGCAACCATGCATAGGATTGTACTGTTGCTCCACACATCCTGTGTGGGGCAACAGTGCAACACATCCTGGGCATCTGTACAGATGCACAAAAGGGAAGCAGGAGCGACCTCCAAGCTTGCCTATTGCCAGAGCAAAAGACCACACTACGCGGAATATTTTCAAAACGTTCTTTAGAAAAACTAGATAGTGACGTGTAGCGTGTTATGAGGAGTTGCTGAGGCACTTGAGATAAGACGTCTGGAGCGCGGAAGGGTAAACAATGATTGTGCAATGTAGTATTATAGCTTACAACAACAGGTAAAAGGAAATGACTGAGATGAATCATTTCTTAGAGCCTTGTTCTCAATTGTGCTTGCGGGGGTTGAGCTTCGGTTATTTGCTGTTGCCTCTCATCTGTCAATTAACTTGTGTACAGGTTCCTTTTGAGGCAGCGTGGATGTCCCCCCACCCACTCGCCCAATGGGTGGTGGTGACAGGCAAGGAACATGCCCACGTTTCCGTTGTAAGTCCTGCAACCAATGCGGCTTCCTGGGCAGCCTTCACGCCCTTGCACTCGCTGATAAGGCTGGCATATTCACATTATCACATCTGGGTAATGATACATGACAACTCTAGGATCAGGGGTTAGACTCGATATTGATAACGAGGCGGAGTGATATCCTGATTAAAGTAAAATGTCTTATCTGGAGGATATTTAGTGTTTATACCAGTGTTTAGTATTAAAGTCTGGGTGTACTGTAGGGTAAGTATCTTATGTGCTTGATACAATAGGGTGTTATAATGGCAGAGTTGTCTATTCAACAGTACATAAAAAGAGAAGTGTGTACTCGCCTAATTGTGCTTGCGAGGGTTGAGCTCTGGCTCTTTGGTCCCGCCTCTCAACTGTCAATCAACTGGTATACAGATTCCTGAGCCTACTGGGCTCTATCATATCTACATTTGAAACTGTGTATGGAGTCAGCCTCCACCACATTACTTCCTAGTGCATTCCATTTATTAACTACTGACACTGAAAAAATTCTTTCTAACGTCTCTGTGGCTCATCTGGGTACTAAGTTTCCATCTGTGTCCCACCTGTCCCACCTGTTTCCACCTGTGTGTGTGTGTGTGTGTGTGTGTGTGTGTGTGTGTGTGTGTGTGTGTGTGTGTGTGTGTGTGTGTGTGTGTGAAGCATGACTGCAGACAGCCAGGTTGGTGAATCACTCTGATTATTAACGAGCAGTGAATCGCCAGACCGATTTAACAAGGTCGTTTGAAGCTGGAATTATACGATTGAAGACGAGGAACGTGCACCCTAATGTGCCAAGAATGCCGGGAAACATGTGGTATTGCTCACACTGCTTTTATTTCCTCCTCTCCTAAACCATGAACCCTCTGCCATTCCGTTCCATCTAGTCACTCCCTACCATCTGTTAGTTTTGGTCAGACACTTGACTACACTATATTCCAGCCCTCCACATACCTTCCCAGGTCCTACTCTATACTCATAGTACCGGGCCTTTGGAGCGTTGAAAGTAAGTTAAAGGTTAGTTGATAACTTTTCGGACAAAGTTATCACAGTTTCTGGCCCCAGGCTGGGCTTGGGAAATAGAATAATACCCCGAACCTTCTCCAGGTATACTCCACCCAAGCACACCACACTACGCCCATAGGCGAGTGTGGTAGACTGTGGTATGTGGTCGGGTACAGGTGTTCATGACGTCATCAGCCTCGTCTGTTACAGGTGTACATTCACGCCTTGTGTAGTTAGTCATTCACTTCACTGACTCTCACAGGCCTAACACTCATGAACCTCTTTGTCATCATTCAGCGTCCACAGCTCTTGCTACCGGTAGGTCGGTTGCTTGTAGTGGCTTTACAAGTTTGGAGGTGTATGCTTGCTGTATCACTCGGTGGAGGAAATGTAGGAAGTTCTATCTTAGTCTGGAGGGAAGATACTGACCAACAAATTTTTTCTTAAAAGATGGTGAAAATTTTTGCCTGTGGCTCATTTGGATACTCATTTCTACCCGTGTCCTTGTTCCACCCCGTGCTAAATTGTAATGTTCTCGTGGTGTATGAGAGTGTTGGTGGTGTGGGACGCGAGACATTTCCAGAGCAGGCGAGGGAAGAGGTTCAAGCTAACGCTAGAGTACGCACCACCGGCGTGGAATCCTCGCCTCGTGAAGTTGTAAATGATGTCCTGCCAATTTTGGCACTTTAATTTGCTACACAAGTGCCAGAATTGAATTGACTAACGTTACGACAAGTTGATAACTCTAGAAAATGAAAATAGGCAACATGACTACAAAAACGATACTGAGGGGGGGGGGGGGAGGATAGACAAGAACAGCCTTATTTAAACAAAACAGGACAAAAGGACATAGGAACTGGAAACACGTCAGTGGAAGACACTTGAGGAGAAACTCCAAGCCAGTGGTCAGCAAGTAGACGGCAGGGAA